CTGCATCAGCAACTCTGCTAATGCACTGAAAGAAGCTTCTCTCCAAGGCACTGTGTTTCATTACAAGTTAGAAGATTAACCTGGTATTTAAAACCATGCACTAATTGAATCTTTGGCCACCCCACTGCTTTCTCCCCCTCCCTGTGACACTTACCCCGAACATCAGAGATCTTGATGAACTCTAGCTGTTCTGCAAGTTCTTTCACGACGTGGTCCAGGCTCTTGGCATCTGTCTCCAGCACGCTCAGGTCAGTGTCTGTGCTATTGCTCTTTGCTGCTAAGGCTGACAGGTTTTCTTCTATGTCAGCTATCTTAACTGTAACATCTGCTGTCAGCTTTCTGTAAAACAGCACCACAGGACTCAGCAGGGGGAGGAGGAAGGGTAGCAACCCTCGATGCTTCACCCAAGAGCAGTGGCTAGAGCTGTGCTCAGCTTCTCCCACGGCAGGACCTGTCCTCCCTTGGTGGAGCTCTGAGTGATTTGTAACAACATGTCTACCTAGAATACTGTTTTGTTTCCTTTATCCTACAACACGTTTATAAACTCAAAGCACCAAATTGCTCAGAAAACAGCTGCTTTGTGTAAGATTAACTGGAGGCAGATTCCAGAGGACTGGTGTAATGCTCTTGTATCATGGCAACTGCATAGGTCAGAGTTGACTACTATGATCCATACATAATTTGCTTCCCATCCCACACAGCTACAAATGCAGTTTTGATTACTACGAGCTCATGGGACAGATTTGAACTTCAGGAAGCAGCAGAGGGGGGTGGGGAAAGGCATGGAGTGCCTTAGTTTTAACACAATAGATTCTTTTAACTGCTCTGTTAAGATCCCTCCTCACCAGACGTTTCTCTAGTGCTGTGAAGGAAAACCTACCACCCTCAGCATCCAGCATAGCCTGGGTGAGCCACAGAGCAGGCTTTAGCTAGTAGGATAACCCTAAAAGGAAAAGCAAACGAATGTTACATGTCAAGGCTACTGCGGAACAGGATTGGGCATAGGAAGCTATTCCCATCCATGGTAATCCCACCAAACTCAGCATTTCCTCACTCTGAAAGAATCAAGCAGTATTTAAGTTCCAAGATCAATCTACAGCCCTCTCAGTAGCCCCACAGCCTGCTGTTTGCCAGGACTCCTCTGAAGCCCAGTACTTTGAGCAATAACAGATACACACATACATATGGAAAGGAAAGCAGCTCCTCAGCTGCTCTGCCCTCTCTCAGTACACACAGAGCCCAAAAGCAGTAGCAACCCTCAGCTCTCCAGCTGGAGGGAGTGAGCTGTAGAGCACATGCTATCCCTAATTGAGACATCTGTGTTTTAATCCTCCCTCCTTTGCTTTGTGCACTGCCCTTTGTAATGAACGAGCAAACTGGAGCTGTTGCAGACAGGACTAGAAAGCATCTGTAATCCTACTTAATGTTAGACTGCCCCATCTCCAAAAGCACAGGCTACCATCATTTGTATACTCAGCCCTAAAACAAAATGCAAGGCTCCTACGCTGAGAAAAATGGAAGTGTTCCTTGTTATAAAGCTGCTGCTTCCCCCTACACGTGCTCAGAGTGCAGAAAGGAGACCAAGTTTCCAACTCATCAGCCACACTCGGAAATCCAGGAATTTAATCTCTCCCCATCTTCATTCTCTCACATAATAGCAGTGTTTGTCCTTTGCCCCAGGGCAGTGCAAGACAAGCATGAGTGGCTCCCTGGTAATTAGCTGCCTGGTGAGCACTGGGAGCAGGAACATCCCTGCCCAGTGCATGGCAGCTCCTGCCTGCCCCAGCTTGTGGGATGGACACTCACTGCTGGCACTGAGCATGGCAAGGTGCTCCACCAGTGCCAGGAGTCACAGGATACCTCATCCACCCAGAGGTGTGGAACTGGAGCATCCTCAGCCCAGCATGGGGACATCAGCCACTCAAGCAAATCCCACCTCACTCCCACTCCTTCCCACACTACACTTACCCATGTAACTGCAACTGTACTCACTCTGCTTCCTCAAAGAGGTTCCCAATGTTCTTCAGGGGCTCAGCTGCTGGATTTTGAGTGATGATGATTTTAATTTCACCGAGCTTTTCCTCCAGCGTGCTGAGTGTCTGCTGGTATGGGCCAGTGACTCCAGTGACTTTGAGCGTGTTAGCCCTGTCCAGGAACTGCTGGGTCCTATTAGCCAGCTCGCTGATGATCACATCCCAGAGGGCAAAGCACTGGTGGCAGGGCACACAGTCAGGGAAGAAGCCTGAATATCCCCGGGAGCACTTGTCGCAGCGCAGCCCTTCCACCCCCTCGCTGCAGAGGCACTGCCCAGTGGCTCGGTCACACTGGGGGGTCTGGATGCCTCGAGGGTTGCAGTCACAAGCTGGAGGGAGAAAAAGGCATGTTTGAAGGCTATGGAGAGGGGAATGACAGTGATGTTGGCAGGGTGGAAAAAAAAGAGGTTATGATGAAGCGGTGAAACGAGTACAGAAGTGGTCAGTGTCTGGATTGTAAAAAGCTAAGTCTGGATGCATCGCTTGGGAATGGGGGAAGCAGGTTTCAGTGTGACAGAGGAGAGAGACAGGGAAGTAACTCTAGGTGAGACCAGCATTTGGACATCTCAGAAACAGGAACGATAATGGAGCGAGGATGGACAGCACTTGTGGCAAAGTTCGGATGTCAATTGGGCAACAGCTCCTGTAATGAAGAGTGAGTAAAGCAAGGCTCTCCAGACTGGAAAAGAAAGACAGACAGGCACAAAACAGAGGGTTTAAGAGCAAAATATGAGTGAAATGGTAAAAGTGGACTAGGAACATCCATTTACTCTCTCATCCAGCACAGGAGTAAAGGTCAGCTGGGGAATCCAGCAGATCAAAAACCAACCACCTTACCCTGCAACTCCCACAAACAGCACAGTAAAATGAGACAGTTGATTACACAGCACTTAGTTAAGTGGTTGACCTTCCTTCCACAGGACACTGTAGGTGCTAAAAGCTGAGGTGGCTTCAAAGAACAGGACAAATCTATGGAGTAATAGCCTTTGAGATATCTTCCATGCAGAGACTGGAATAGGTTGCCCAGGGAGGTGGTGGAGTCACCATCCCTGGAAGTGTTAGTGTCTGGATCTGACACTGGAAGATATGGTTTAGGGGTTAGAGCAGAGTGACAGGTTAATGGTTGGACTTGATGATCTTAGGTCTCCTCCAACCTTGATGATTCTGTGATTCTATGATTGGCTCAGGACATGCTCCTGCCACGGATGGTGGGAAAACATTCACAACACACATCGTGGAGCCTCTGGCACTGGGCTGACATTTTGGATATACAGAAAATGAGAAAAAAATCTGGCAGTGAAAAGCAGACCAGAACAAATCATCTGGCCATGGGCAGCCCTGTCTGAGGTGCTAACACTCAAGAGTCTGCACACTGTCTGTCACCCTCAAGTGGGAATGAGGGTGATTTACAGAATTATATATTTTTTAAAGTTATTTCACACTTTAAGCACCAGCTCGGGAGTTAGTATTCACAGCCTCCTGAAATGTACTTCTTGGGCACTAACCCAGCATGGAGAGAAGTTACTCCATTAACTTCCTGATGCTCTGTCATTTCTCAAAGCACAGACAGGCTCTGCACACAATAAGTCATTTCTCAAAGCACAGACAGGCTCTCTGCACACAAAACCACTATCAGAAGCGTTTCCACGCAGCAGGGCTGCCACTTGACCTCCCCTCCTCCTTAATTACACAGGGGCATCACCAACAGGCAAAGCTTTCAATAAAGAGATGACAGCAAGCAACAAAAAAGAGAGGCTTTGAAAAATATGTACATCATCTACCTCCCCTCATGGCAGAGTACACCTGGAGCAGGTCAAGCACATGTTCCTGAAACAGGAAAAGGACTGTGATACCTGATAAAAGCTTTCACTTACACATCCATTTACCAGGCATCCTTGAAAGAGGTTAAATGGCTCAAAAAGGCCCATAAATTGATTCACACACCCCAAGCACATGCCCTTGAAAAAAGGGCAAAACACAAAAGCTGTTTTCAAGATTGTGCATTGTCTGCTTCAATGCCAGAACACAGTGGTGGTCTTCAGCTCAAAAATGACACAAAGAGCCTCAGCAGAACAAATCTCTCCTCAACAGAACGACTTTCTTGTACAATGTGAATATGATAGGCAAGAGACAAAAATAACTTCTGCTGCCTGCACAATTGAGCAAAACGGTCCTTTGTTCTTTGAATTATACCATGACACAAGAGATTGTTTTTACTTTACATCGAAAGTGCTTAAGTAGTCAACTCACCATGGAACATGTTCCCTGCAGGCAAACTGTCAGAGTTCCTGTTTGAAGGTCAGTTAACCCTTCTGTCAACTAATAAGGCCCTCAGAATAATGATGAATTGTCCAAATTCCTCTGCACAGAAAGAGGCTAAATGGCATGTGGTTTTTCTCAAAGATCCTGAGGTCTGATCGAGTTACATGAATACTTGCTGCTGGCAAATCAGATCACTGTATTTACTTGTGGATTTAAAAAGCTTAAAGAGAAAAAAAACCCAACAAAACCCAATCCCATGTTGGTAATTCTACTCCTGAATACCTGCGTGTTCAGGAAAAGCAGATGACATGGCTTTAGTAGTATTTACATGGTATTGTGGATTCCAAAATCTCTGGAGGCAGAAAATGGTGGGGAAGGGGAGAAAAGAATTTAGGTACTAACTTGTTTGCAAAGTGAAAACCTAAACTTCACAGCTGCCTGTTGGGAGATGATAAAAAGCAAGTAAGTTATTCTAAATGCAGCAGAACAGTAGGATGAATCATCACGTTTCCAGTTCTACAATACATCCAAACTGACCTTTTTGGGACCCATGTACAAAGCAGCACATTACTGTGGGTTATTTCCCCATTTCTGGATTCTCTACCCAGCCCAGCTGGCTCTGAATTACCTCAGTCCCATGAATCCAACATACATAAAATGGCTTTCAAAAGTGATGGTTTCACACTTGCTCTTTTCTCCATCATCTTCCTAAGTCATTAACCATACACAGGACCACACCAGCTTACAACCCAAAAGGTAAAACTGAAGATAATTGTATTTCTTTTTTAAGTAAAATCACATAGTTTAAAGGAAAACATAAAAACCTAGCCTCCCTCAGTACCAGAATAAGATTCTGGTCAATTTTATTTTCTTTCCATTTTGATCAGAAGCTGAGGCTAAATTTCTGGACACTGCATTAATAATTAAATTAGGCCAGCCAAAAAAAGAACCCACAAAAACTGCCCTCCAAGGCTGTGTGGAACACAACTTCCACCACCTCTGACACCTCTAGTGAACGAGTCCTGTCCCTTGTGCTGTAGCCACAAGCACCAGCAGGTTATTTTACACCCCAGCAAGGAGGTGAAGGCCCCAGCATGGTGGGGATCAAACCCTCCACTGACTTCAGTTGTGGCGAGTTCTCAAGAGGAGGAAAGTGAGCCCAGGCCAAGATCATATAAAGCCTTCCATGTAGTGAGGAACACCTTAGAACACTAAGGCCACCAGGGAAATGCCAGAAACCTGTGGACCACCAGGCAAATAGCCCAGTGCACAGGTTCCACCTCTGCCTCAGGCCATACCTGACAAGCACCCACTGGTTTCAGTCTCTCTGATTGAAAGGCACAACTTTGTCCCTAAAGTGACAAAACCCCAACTTTGTCCTAGAGGGACAAAAGCAAAGTGACAGTATCCATGTGAAAGGAAAGGAGAGCCTTCAAGCTGGCAGACTGAAAAATCTGTCACAGGATTGGCAAGTAGCTCATGAAAGAATAACTGAGTTAAGCATCCATGATTCAGGATGGTAGGTGCACGTGGTGACTCTACCACCACCAGGGAACTGGGATGTGACTACAGGACATGCCTTGATTCCTATCACCTGCTAGAAACAGAGCAAACACCATGTCAGAATGATCCAGCACACATGTCCAGTATCATGTTCCACCAGAGCACTTCACCATCACTTCTAGCCACAGTGGAGTTCTTGCTCCTCTAACACATCCTCTGTTAATGGCCAACTATTCCTGTGGCCACCGTGTGAGTCAACTCCTATGCACACCAGTGCTAAGAATGTTCTGTGGTTACAGCAGTTTTGCTTCCATGTACCCAAACAGGCTAACTCAAACACAATCTTCAAAGTATTGCTTGGCTAAGGAGATTTTGGCTCTAAGCAGCACATCCACAAGTCTGATGTAACACCTTAGTAGCTACATCAGATCCAAGGTTAGCATATGCCTGGTTATCTGTTGGTTTTTTGCAAGAACAAGAAACACACAGGCACATTAGTGAATCAGAAGTGTTTCAGATGTTCCTCTATAGCTACCAATGGCTTTATATTCCACTTCACATAGTGTATGTGAAATAGGGAAGTCCTGCAAGCTCCTTTTCAATGGCTTGTCTATGCTTAGGTGACTAGAAATTGGGAAAAATAGTTCATTTTGCACAGCAAAACCACACAGATGTTGAGTTTACTCTGAGACACTTAGATGCTTTGACCACTTGGAGTTGGAAATACCTACAAAATAAATGGCTGGTTACTCTCCCTTCATGCAGAGAGGATACCAAGGCCAAGGTGAAGGGCTCCAAATTAACAGAGACAGGGCTGATTGCTCTGAAGATCAGTGTCAGAGTTCAACTCTGTCCCTGGGTAAGCAGAGCAGGACTCTGCAGTATGGAAAACATAGTGGATGAAAAGAAGTCCTTTGAAATCACTGGCCAAAGATGTGAGGGTTTTCAAAGGAGCATTTACTAAATTAAACAATAGGTTTCTGTTTTGAAATGTCATTTTGGAACTGAGCATATTGTTTTCTTTAATTGAGCGTTTAACTTGATCAGAGATTTTTCTGTGGCATACTTCAATTGAAGTGAAATCACGGTTTTGACAGGAAAATTTTTAGCCAATTTCTTCAGTCAGGATCTGCCAGTTAGCAAATTATGTGTATAAAAGATTGTAGCTGTATCTGTTCACAAATGCATGTGCACATTTGTGAATGTAGACACATGGTAATTTTTGAATCATCTTGTTCAGTGCATTTCTCCTCCTCCTTTTCCCTGATCCTATAGATAGAATTAACATTAATACGTTTACTGAACGCAGTCTTGTAGAAACCAAGGGGGAGAAATCCAAAAGAAGCAAATGACTAGCTCGAGTGGTTTGCTTTAAGCTCACAAGGATCTATGAAATGCATTATTTCACCTACTCTGACAGCTCTGCTACCTTTCCCTCTGATTAGAAATATTTAGAACTCACCTCCATTTGAACCACTGTGATTTAATACATGGCATGTTTGCACATCACTTAATTTAAACTAAGGTGTGTCAGAGTACTTGATACTACAGGGGAGATGATATAATGGATACTGAATGGGCTGTATGAAAAGCAGTCTCAGTGTTCAGTGTTTGGTGCTAGGAACAAGCAAGTGTTGTACATCATCCTACACAGAATAGAAATCATTGCTGCAGAAATATTTTCTTTACTGCTTAGACTGAGGACAGAGAGCATCAAGTGTTTAACTCCTCCACAGAAAAAACACAAAGCTTTTGTTCCAACATGATTTCCTGGCATCATTTCCCAGTGCTAGTGAGGCACCGCGATAAGAAAACCATTCAGCAATTTGTAAGGTTGAAAGTTTTGCAAAGCTAGCAAATTTCTTCTGAAGAATCAGCTATTGATTCAAATTACCCTGTAAGCATAGTACTAACTCCTCAGCATTATGACTTTCAGTAGGAGTGTTAAGATAAGACCCCAGCCTAGAATTCCTGGAGTTGTGCTGCAGGTTAACATGCTAGCAGACCTTGCTCAAAGTGCAGTTTTTTGGAAACAGCCCATATACATTACAATATTTATGACCACAGGTCAACTGAAATTATGAAACTCAAAGTGAAAGTTATAATTTCTTTAGTGTAGCATTCATCTTGCTTTAGACACATCACAGAAGGAAAAGAAACATCTGCCAGTCTTCTCTCCATACCACAAACCATGGGTAGCTGTGGTCCACTGACTGTTCTAGGTGGGCCATTTTGGACATTTTCACATAGCTATGTCCAGAGTTTATTTGTAGACACTTGGGTTTTTAGTAAAGGGTGTCACAGCAATGTGTGCAGTACAGTCCCCATTTCTCATCAGGAGCTTGTGCCTCTTGGTGTCAACAAACTTGTGATCTCTTGTGAAGAAATCAGACATCACTGTCCCTGAAGTGACTGACTCACCCTGTGATTTCCAACCTTGAGCAGAAGCCACTTGCCCTAGACAGTGGAGGATTCCACTCTGAAGTTGTTAGGACTGATGTCCACACCTCTACATCAGCTCAGGGTCTGCAGTGTGGATTGCCTGTAAACACTCACATGGTTCAGAGCTTTTGCTGTTCCCCATCCAGGTTGGTTTCTATTTTCTTCCTGAATCCGGTACAAAATGTGACCATACTGGCTGCCTGTGCCAGCATGAGCTGAGGGCAGGTGGCAAACACCATGGCCAGGAGACCACATTTCCCCCTATAACTGGAGATGACCTCTTTGTGACAAAGCCCAGTCTCAGTTCCAGCTTCCCCTTGGCCACAGGCCAGATTTCATCTCTTTTCCAGGGACACTGCTCTGCATCTCCTTAAATGGCATAGCTTTCCAGTTCACCTGCAAACAGCTTACCACTGAGAACTGCTACCTGCCCACGTGGCAGCTGCACGTCTGCCAGCCTGAGCATCACCACTCACTCCCCAGGGATAAGAAGCCAATTAATTCCCTCCTTGCCAAGGAAGGATAGGAGCCAGGCAGGAGGCACTGACTGCACCATGCCAGGGAGACTCAGCAGCACCACGGGCCTGGATGTGTTCCATGAGCAGGCACATGCTTGGAGCCCATCCAGAGCATCACACCTCAGGCTGCCACAGCTCAGTCCAGGGCACTGGCTCTCCCCACCTGCCCCAGAGACCTCCTGTTGGATGTAATCACAAAGGAAAATCTGCATTTCCACCCAAGAGAGTCTCCTCCAATCACTTGGGGCAGAAGGGATGGTGGGCTGGAAGGAGACTGAAGATCTTGCATGGTAAAAACAGGCTCTGAAGAATATATTCTCTCTTTACTTCAGAAACAGTAAAAGCAGGTTTCCACATGTTCAAAAGGCAGCAAAAACTCCATCACAGACCAGAAATGCTGGTATGCTGCAAAATCCTGCTCATAAGGTATGCAGAGGGACTCCATCAATAAACCCTGATGGAGACAACTGATACCAAGAGACAATCCCTCCCCTGGAGCCAGCAGGGTCAGTGCACCCCTTACCACACCAGAACACACACAGCCTCCCCAAAGGCTGCCTCTACCCCCAAGAAACCCAATATGTACTCAGGAACTGTGACAATTCCCCAGTCCTTTTATCTGGGGCATTAACCAAGTCACTGTGACCTGCCTATCTGCCAAGATAATGGGCTCTAAGGTATCTCTATTGTAAGGGATTTATTAAAGACCACAGCAAGCACATTCCTCCCTGCAGGAAAAAATACCTTAATCTATTGCAAACCCTCCTGGCAAAGGCTCCTATTTGAACAGATGAGAGATACAAGTTTGTTCTGGTCTGGACAATGTTTGAAGTTTCTTTTCCAGCTAATGAACAGACTTGTTTATAATGAAAGGACAGAGAGCATCCAGTTTTCTAAACAAGCGACTTCATGGTGCTCAGTTTTGCAGCATGTAGCTATGGATAACCTCTGGCATGCTCTCTGCCCACTCCTTTATTTTCATCTGAAATAAAAGGAAAGTTGCCTCCTTTATTTATTCAGGCCTAGTCTCCCTAAGAAGATGTAAGAGCAGACAGTGGTCTTCTGCTACACACAGCTGGAAGGCAAACGAAACTGGTTGCCAGACCAAATCTCAAACCCAAAGTTCTGCAACAGGTTTTCCTACCACACTGGCTTACCTGGCAGCATTGCAACCTAAGCCTTAAGGAAGAGTTAGCTTCTAAAGAGAGAGGTTTGGTTCTAAATGAGTGTCAGACAAGAAAAATGAAACAACAGGCAAGTGCAGGGCTGGGGTATATCCCATCCCCCAGGGCACCAAAGCCCCGGGGCAGACACCACCATGCTTTCCTCCCACACTGCCAAGGCTGAAGCAGGCTGTTCCTGGCAGGGGTGTCCCAGTACACTGTGGGTGATGGTATGCCTGGTCACACAGACATCTCCAAAAGAAGCAGGGGGAGCAACACCAGGGCTGGACTTACCTTGGCACTCCACATCTGGGTCGCCCCAGAAGAGCTCCTGGCACTCCCGGCAGGTGCGTCCTCCGAAGCCTGGCATGCACTGGCACTGCCCAGTGAACTGTCCAAATAAAAACACCCCAGCAGGAACGTGAGCACCTCGGCAGGGCCACCCTGCACCAGAGCAGAAGCCAAGCCACCAGAGCACGCCCACAGTCCCTCACCTCATTGCAGGCAGGGCCCAGGGAGCGCGTGGGGTCGCAGTCGCACTGCTCGCAGCCAGTGCCACTGGCCAACCTCCAGGTGTTGGGGGCACAGCGGTCGCAGGTCTGTCCCACCACGTTGGGGAGGCAGTGGCACTGCCCCGTGGCTGCCTCGCACCGGCAGCTCTCCGAGCCCTCGCAGTCCTCCCGCACCGTGCCCAGGTAGTTGCAGACACACTCTGAAGGAAAGAGCACAGTGCCTCAGGGCCCTCTCGCTACCAAGGTCCCGAGTTCACATCTCGTTTATTCTCCAAGTCCCCAGACGTGTGAGCAGATGGTGCCATGTCCCAGTCAGTGCCCATGGCTGACCCAACACTGAACAACACCCAGCACTGCCCAAGAGCCCTCCTCATGTCCTAGGCTGGCCACCTACACAGCTTCTGCATCAGCACACAGAAGGCCACAGAAGCCCTTCATAGAATTTTAGAGGTTGGAATGGACCTTATAGACCACTTAGTCCCAACCCCCTGCCATGAGCAGGGACACCTCCCACCAGAGCAGGTTGCTCAAGGCTTTAGCCAACCTGGCTGTGGACACTGCCAGAGTTGGGGCAGCCATAGCCTCCCTGAGCAACCTGTGCCAGTGTCTCACCACCCTCACAGGGAAAACTTCCTATGATCCCACCTCTCCTTCAATTTGAATCCATTACCCCTTGTCCTATCACTGCAGTTGCTAACAGAGTCCCTCTCCTGTTCCCCTGGAGCCCCTTCAGATACTGGAAGGTGCTGTGAGATCTCCACACAACCTCTTCTCCAAGCTGAACAGCCCCCACTCCCTGCTCCAGTCCTCTCCCTCTTCTCCAAGCTGAACAGCCCCCACCCCCTGCTCCAGTCCTCTCGACCTTTGTGGCCTCCTCTGCACTTGCTCCAACGGCTCTATGTCCTTATTTCACTGAGGGCACCAAACTGCATCAGTATTCCACCTTTGATTCATTCATTCATTCATTCATTCATTCAAGCAGCTCAGCCCTCTCCCTCTTCTTCTTTCCTCCCTTTGTACACAGCCAAAGTCCCAGTTTGCCCAGCTCCTTTCAGCACATGTCAATGCTGTCCATGCTCTCCCTGTCAAACGTAAAGGACCCTCCTTCTGCTCAGGAGCCCTGCTGAGCTGCTGGGCAGCTTCAGGCAACTCCAGCTGGAGATAATGAGGTTTCCCCTCCACCCCAAATGCTCCCAGGTGAAATGGTTCAGGTGGCTGCTGCCAGGGCTGGCACAGGAGCTGTGTGTCCCAACTCACTTCTGCAGTCCTGCTGCAGGGCACTCCCGTAGTAGCCCTCCTTGCAGAGGTGGCAGTTCTCCCCCTCCGTGTGATACAGGCACTTCATGCAGGCTCCTGTCCTCTTATCACAGGCCTCTGGGTCAGTGGTGTCGATGTTGTTGTTGCACTGGCACGGCTGGCAGGCGCCGCCAGCGTCGTCGGGGCTCCCAAAGAAGCCAGACGCACATTCATCACATCGACTGCCTGTTTGAACAAACAGGCACAGTGGGAATTACCACCACGGCTCACTAGCATCCAGCAAGGCTGAGGTGAGGCAATAAAGGCCATTAAATGGGGAGGCATTAACTGGATCAAGCTCAAAGCAACAGAGCAGAGCTTGGTGAGACCGTGGCCTTGGTGCAGCATGGGTGGTACCACTCAGAGCATCAAGGCATGGCGCTGCAGCCTAGCTGCCAGCACAGTCCTCCCTCAGTCCCACTGCTGTCCCATCCATGCCTCTGCTGACCACTGGTCATCCCTCACCACACTGCTGGGGATGAGGTTTGTGGTGGTACTGGCACCACCTGCACATGCTACTCTGCCCTGGCACCTTCCAAGTGAGGCAATCTCCATCAGCAACACATTGATGCTGGTGCTTTGGTCACACCCAACCCATAGGAAGATGAGAGGAACAGGAACCTCACTGAGAGGTTCCACCCAACCAACCCTGCTCCATGCACCCACCAAATACCTATGTATCCCACGCTGCAGACACACACGACTTGCAGTGTGACAGGGTCCTGGTAACAGCCACTGGCAAACTGCCGTCCGCTCTCGGGGCCATCAGGGCACAGGCAGGGCCGGCAGTGGTCGCCTGATCCCAGCACAGGGTCTCCATAGTAGCCAGCCTGGCACCTGCACAACAGGGGACACAACATGCAGGGTTCTGCAAGCAAACAAACTGCAGCCTTGCTCTAACTAAGCTCAGGTTTTCCACCACTGTGAAGAACCCAAGGGCAGAAACATCCTTATGGCTCTCCCTTGCCGCTCGCGCTCCGAGCAATTGTCCACAGAGGCAAATTTCTCTGGCTTTACACCAGTGTAAGAGCAGGAAACCCACGGTGGGTGCCTCTGGGAAGGCTTGCAAGGGCTCTCTGAAGGCCTGGGGTCCTGCAGGGTGTTCTTGCCCACTTGGGCAGGTGCTGCTGGGAGCCAGGAATGAGGAGCTTCACCACTCATCCTTCTCCATCACACCAGCACTGCTCCGACTCCCAGCGTGCAGGGATTTTCCCTGTGGCTTCACACCTGCCTGAGCACTAGCACCGGGGAAGAAGAGCTGTTGCAGCCACCCTGCTGCAGAGCAGGAGAGGGGCCAGGGCGAGGGCACGAGAGGGCCCAGGGTGAGGGCACGAGAGGGCCCAGGGCGAGGGCACGAGAGGGGCCAG